TATTCTCTCTCAAGTGTTTGACTGTTGTTTGATATCCCCGGTGTGGATGCGCTTGATGTGCATGTTGACAAGGTGCCTACCTGTCTATTACCCACTACCTCGTCCATACTGGCTCCAGGAGACAGTTGGTCGTTGCTGGAGGGGACGGGGTGCACGGTCCTTGTGGCCGTGTTAGGCTCAAAGAGTGGTTCCATGTACTCAGTGTGGTGCGAAATACGGTCTAGCCACCGCCTTGTGTGCGCTTGATACCCAAATACAGTGTGCTTGTGTTTGCCTGTGAAGGAGTGTGGGCCGGCTCCGTTGATGAAACGTGGTTCCCATCCGCATGCCCTCCCGGTCTTATTCCTTCGGGTTTACACTGGATATGGGGTGTGTGGTTGGAGCTGTGGGTGGTGCAGCGCAAGCCACCCATGGTCCCTCAGTAGGCGCAGGCGTCCTGTGGCTGGCCACAGTGGCAGGCAAATCCGAAACTGGATGGCGCCAGCCATATATATATATATATATATATATATATATATATATATATATATATATATATATATATATGCCTACACAATAGACAGAGCCATCGAAAACCACAGAATGAATGTGTATGCTAAGTGTAAAGTGCATAACATGGAAAACGTACAAGGAGAAATTTGTGGTTCTTACATGCCGCCTTCTTTTTGTGCCAGTTTAGGGATTACGGTGTTGAACAGTTGAATAAATGCATAGTCTCACGCAAATCATCCGTCGCCAACTGCTACGACCAACGCATATTTAACTGAGCACTGTTTGTGCAGCCACTAAAAGAACACAGCCGAAGAAAGATTAGGAAATCCGAGTTTGTAAAGCACTGCGCGCAACACACAAACATTCGGTCCGAATACCTCATATTTAAATCCCAACTCTATGAAGAACTCTTCGGCGACCGACAGGGTGCCAATATTTTACGCACACGTTTAGTATGTCCTCAGTTGTTTCCTTCTGTTCGTGGTTAATCTGTACAATGAGATGGTGTGACAACTGATGCGACTGATTTGTCTACTCATTCGCATTCTATTACATTCCTCAGGAATATAATAAGCTATCTTCCACCTAACTCGCCTTCTGACATCGGTATTGGATTAGATATCTACTCCAGAAAGTATGTTTACTAGTCAGATAACATGAATCCCTGGTTTGGAAATCAATCGAACATGGCGCTCAATGGTATAAATGTCAGCAAAACTTTACTCCTCAAATTGCAGCTGTCTCCTGAGGCGTCAAATTACATGTATGGATGTACTGAATAGTAATACCTTGTTGGAAAACATCTGGTGTTGTCCCCACATCATTTTCCAGTCCGCAAGGTGCTCCTAATTGGTTCACAGAGGCATCCTCTTCAGTTTCCAATGACTGTTCGGAAGTGCATTGTGCCTCGGAATTCAGTGCATCCTTCTCCAAAGGATACAAAGGCGTATCAGGAGATGCCGTTGACGATTGCGTTTCTGTAGACTCAGGCTTCGGTCTCAGAATGCAGGGGCTCAAAGGTTCTTTCACCTGTGGACTCGACCAACCATTGTTCTGACAAAAATACCAGAGCACATGAACAATTTAAGCATTCGGAAGCAGCCCTAGTCATTCTAGAAAATTGCGTAACCAAACACTAGAAAATAGTGCAAAAAACAAGACATTAATCGTTAAAACAAAATCAGCAAGTACCCCTACAGTAGAACTAGGAGCAGTCGGTTCATTCGGCCAGAGAAAGAACCAGATTTGGTGTCATCTTCAGTCTATTTCAAAGCAATGATTTGAGCATTGAAATGCGGTTGATCCACTTCGCACGACTCACATGGCCAGAATAATAATAGACAAGAACTAGGAAAATGTGGTTGAACATAAAAGGTGAAAATGCAAGAACCCAAGGTGCAAACAGTTGTTTATTGTGACAAACAGCATGAACCCAGTTCTGACAGATAAAAATTCCGCTCATCTACGCGCTTTCTGTTGAAGGTTGCGCTGCGTTGACTACTTCCATGTCTACTGAATCTGTGACGTGCAACACTTCTGTCTATCCCTCGCGCACATACAGATGCGGTTCCAAAGTGATTCTTTCCTTACGAGGAGTTAGTACGGCCGCCGTTAACTTGTTGCCTTTGGTTTTCTGGCACTTCCATACCACTGACTGTTGGCGAAGCAGTGCCTGCCTTTAGTTCACCACACCTCCTCCTTCAGTGTTCGACACCACTGCCTTCGCCCGGAGCCTTTTGACCGTCATGGATGCTAACTGTGCGAAAATAGCTCCCCATCTAGTCTGTGCCACTTTCTCAGCTCAATGATATGTAGTCGCCGTGAATCTCATTGCCTAGCGATTATATACACTGGGCAAAGCCAGGTGACCACCTCGTACGGCCCAATTCCACTTCGGTAAGTTACTTCTCCTCTGAGCCATAAGTGGGAGCTCGTTGACAGTTCCTGTAGTTGACCTTTGGACTGATGGAAAACTACCCACCCGCCTCGCCATTGCTGGTCTTGGACATCTCTATCCTCCGAGCCTGAGTTACCATCAGATTGCCATCAAGTTGTCTTCGTTCCTGTTATGCTGTGTCTCTGGGAAATATTCAGCAAGTTGACCACATTCTAACTGCTAGACACACATGTAGGCGAAATGCTTGACAATGGACCAAATGAAATGGCGATTTCTTTGGAAAGGTTTGCGTCGATGCTCGATTGGTCAGCAACAACAGCAGGAAAGCTTCCTCACAGTCTCTTCCCTTTGACGCTAGACACTAATTGTTCTGTTGTTACCTGCCGTCAAGCCATTTGTCTTCAGATGGTGTGAGGTTGTATGCCCCTTCTTGATACCAAGTATCACCAAGCAGATCCGGGATTCATCACTCTCGAAGCACGGAACCTGGTTCGTTAATATAGTCCCTGGGATTTCGTGGTCCAATATCGAATGTTTAATGACGGCGTGGGTAGTGATCCTCGCCCGTTGCTTCAATCCAGCGCGTAAAATGCTCAGTCATCAACAAGATGAATTGGTTGCCCCGTCTGGCCAATGGAAACGGTCCCATCACATCGATCGACCATAGCTGGCCAAGTTCCGATACCGGAACAGACAGCACTGGTTGTTGTGCTCCTTGACAGTCGGTTTTCAAGAGCTGGCGTTGCTTGCATGAAAGCACGTATGTCTCAACATTCATCTTCATGCCCGGGCAGAAGGCGCACTGTTTCAGCAAGTCGCAGGTCCTGGTGCAACTGGTGTGCGCCATCTCGTGACAAAAAATCACCAGGTTCAGCCTTAAGTTTGTCGGAATTAGCGGCGCCGAAGTGTCGCTACCTTCTGGTATCAACATCAGGACTCCCGCTTAAGTTACTTGTAGCTTTTCCAGATTTCTTGCTAATGGGCCAAGCTTCTTGTGTTAGTTCTTGTTTAGGACTGATTGACAGGTTACTTGTGCACAAGAGTTTGTCACCACGTAGTTCGGCCGCCAACTGTCCCGGATCTCGATTCAACAATCTACCACTAATACCCAAAGCCAAGCTCGGCAGGTCACCTTCGTTCATCAAGCGTGATAAAATAATCCGGTTTCGTTCTTCTTCGCCCGCACGCGATTTATCGCGAAATCATATTCCTGCAGGCACAGAGCTCACCACGCTAGCTTTCCCCTGAAGGCGGGTAATCCGTTTCAACATGAAATCGTTGACATAGTAGATATGGCTGACATTTTTCCAACGCCCTGACGATTGCAAGATATTCCTTCACTACGGCTGAGCATCTGCTTTTTGTCGGTGTCAAAATGCTGTTGACGTACTCAATCGTTCGGTGGCTTGTCTCAAAACTACACCGACGCCGTCGCTGGCATCAGTGGACACCGTGAACATCTCAACAGTCTGGTTGGATACACCAGCTGACATGGCGAGAAGCCGAACACAATGACGTTTGCGTGGTGAGTCCCTTTGTCTCACCCCATCCCTTTAGTTTTCAACTCCAATAACGAGCTAAAAGCCGATGCACAATGTGATTTTAGTAGTGCTACATTTTAATAGTAATAATAATAATATTTAATCTCTCATCTTTTTCGTTTTGCGGCACATCAGCTGAGGTGTTTCTCACCCTCGGCTAACGTGCATAGATGACGATGATGATCTCTGCATTTCTTGTAGAATGCGACCAAACGCTTTTTGGGCTTCTGTAGCCCGTATGAAGTTATTATCCTGTTTCAGCAATTCGTACAAGTCTGAGGTCAAGTTACTGAATTCCTTGACGAAATGGCTGTAGTACCCAGCCCGGTCTAGGAACGCCTGAGAGCGCGCTTTGAGGTAGGGACAAGGTGCCATGTATTGTCAATATTTTCTCAGGCACAGGCTACAGTTTATCTTGTTCCGCTTTATGACCCAGTAAAATGGCGCAAGTCTTACTAAGCTGGGATTTCGGCCTGTTTGTGCGGAGTACCGACTTGGGGATCCGTTTCATAACAGCTTCGAGATGATCAGTGTGCTCCACCTCTGACTACAATACAATGAATCGCACTTCAAACAAATTTCTGATGTTCTGGCCACCGCACAGGATAATCAACGGTACCCTATCTGCTGCATCGGGCAGGGTGGATAGGGGTTTGGATGCTACTGCTCAAGCCTTCCCGTCTTCCTATTCCTCTTCTTGCGCTTTTTCACCCTTATCGCTCCGTTCCAGCTTCAATTTTATCCCCTTTGTTTTCAACCCCCAATTCTCGGCCCTCCCCCACCTTGCTTCAATAGTCGCTTGTCTTTTAGTTTCAACTCACAGGTGAACGCAGAGCGTCATTCCTGCCCCGTCAACAGGCCCATGTCCAACCAAGCGGCCCATTCCAGTTCATCGGCTTCCATTTGGAGCCCTCGATCCTCCTTCAGATTGGCATGCCTCAATGTTCGCACATTGCTTCAGATCGGTCAACAGGCAGCACTTTCCCGAACATTAGAGACCCTGTCTTTCGATATCTGCCGCTTATCGGAGACCCGCCTGCAAGACTCGAGCTCTGTACTCACTCTGCGATCCCCTTCAGGTGACACTAGCAGCACTTTCTCATTGCGCCTACCCGGTGACGATGCAGCTTCGAGCACCGGTCAAGCCGGTGTTGGTATTGCCCTGAGTCCCCGGGCTGAAGCTACTCTGGTTGATTGGATTCCAATCAATAACCGGATATGTGCGGTCCGATTGGCTGGCTCGTTCAAAGCTTCGAAGTCGCGTGGGACTAACAGGTGTCTATTCGTTATCGCTGCCTATGCACCAACAAACTGTAGCGATGACTCGGTAAAAGACGACTTCTATCGTCAACTGAACGAGCTCCTTCGCCACAGAAGAAGCACGGACACTGTTGTGCTGGCTGGGGATCTGAACGCTCAAGTTGGAAAATTATCCACAGATGAGCTGCATCTGGGCGGCCAACATGGTATAGGCTCCCGTAATGATAACGGTGAGCGGTTACTTCAATTGTGTGAGGATGCTCGCTTATTTCTTGCGAGCACTAATTTCAGACACAGCACCCGCCGGAGGGTACTATGGACGCAAATCGATCACATTGCGATAAGTTACCGATGGAGACGCTGCGTCCAGAACTGTCGCTCGATTTGGAGTACAGGTGTTGACAGCGATCATGCACTTGTATGGGCTGACCTGCGGATGCGCTTTGGTGGACGCCCGCGACGATGTTGTGAGCGCATTGACACCGGCAGACTGGCAAATCCAACTGTTCTGAATGCGTATCGAAGTACGCTGTCATCCGAGTTGGATAAACGCTCACTGCATGCAATTGAAGCTCACTGGTCTCATACTCAACAGGCCTTACTAGCTGCAGGAAAATCCTCATGTGGTATGTCTAATCACCAACATGGACATTGCGACTCTTCACAGTCTCTGGAACTTATAGATGCTCGCCGGCATATTCCGGCTGGAAGCGAACAAAATGAAACTCGCAAAGAGCTCCGGGCAAAACTCCGTGCTAGCCTGAAGAGAGACCGCGAATCTTGGTGGTCTCGTCGTGCAACAGAGATGGAAGTGGCCGCTGCCCTTGGTAACCATCGTGAGTTATTCCGTCTTATACGGGAAACGGGCAGCAGGAGACCTGGTGTTAGTGAAACTATACGTGACGAGAGTGGACAGCCTATCCACAACTTATCAAAACGCTTGGAACGTTGGGCTGAGCACATTGAAAGGCAATTTAATCGGTCGGAATTGTTAGATTTCTCGCCGACCAGTGATCGCCCTGCTCCGTGGGCTGTTCATTTGGATCCACCCTCTCGCTCAGAAGTCGAACGTGAGATCAAACTGTTGAAGTTAAATAAAGCCGCGGGACCTGATGACCTTCCTCCAGCCCTCTTCAAATTCGGGGGACCTGCTCTTGTGGATGATTTACACGAGTTACTAGTGAAACTGTGAAAGCAGGAAACTGTCCCAACCGACTGGAGCCGCTCCATCATAGTCCCAATTTTCAAAGGAGGCTCACGATCGGAATGCGGCACCCATACAGGAATCAGTCTGATCTCCATCGCCTCCAAATTGCTTGCCTCTGTCATCCTTCACAGACTGACTGGCAATCGTG